CCCTGTAGTTTGTGGGGACTGAGGTGGCAGAGTGGGAGAGGTGTAACAATCGGAATTGAGACGTAGTGGATGGTGTGGACAGGTCCAGGAGAAGATTAGAAGGGCTGGTGCCATTTACTGGAGAGGACTGACCTTGGGTGAGGTGCCCTGCAACTGGATGGGAAAGGAGCAAATCACAACCACGATGTGTTCTCACCACACAGTAGACGCTCAGTTTTTACCTACAAATGAATGGTGTCAGGAATGCCACACTGCAAGAGGAATGGGGCATGGATATAGGTGGCATAAGGACAACACTATTTAATCTTTTTTTTTTCCAGTTCCTCTTTTTTTTAAATCAATCTTTATTGTTCATATTATTACAAAGGTTCCTCATTTCTTCCCCCCTCCACCAGGTTCCCACCCCACTCTCCGCCCCCTCCCCATCCCCCATTGTCCTCATCCATAGGTGCAGTTTATGTTCAGTCTCTTCTTCCCTCCCTTTCCCCAATAGTAAATCCCTTTTCAGATAGTAAATCAGTTACTTAGCATTTTCTCAAATCAATAATACCTCCACATGCCCAATGATACACTTCACACAAAAGACATTTCCCAATAGGTCCACCAGCCTCATCCAGGCCCCACCCAAGGCACTCACAGATCAACACCCCAGCCCTAAACTAACTCAACACATCCAGATCTAAGCCTTCATCTCTTGATTCAGCAGACCCTCAAGTTCCCACGAAAGTTTCCAGCCATGTCTGAGAAGCAGCCGTGGGGCAGGGGCAGGCAAGGAGTGAGCTGTTCCTGGCCTGGAACACTATTTAATCTTAATAGTGTTGCATGGGTTTAAATTGTACTAGAAAATACAAGTAGCCAATGAGTCTGAATTTTCACCTTTGAGGAGCTAAGCAAAAAAAATGGGGTCATTGATAAAAGACTCAGGTGGCAAAAAAATTACATTGCACCTAAATATTCTTCAACATGGGATTGGTTAAATAAAAGTTCAGTCAAAAAATGAAGACTGAGCAGTCATCATAAAGATGATGGAGTTCTGTGCATGCAAAGTCAACACATAAAACACAGTGTGTGTCTGGTTAGTGTGGCTCAGTGGTTAATTATCAACCCATGAACCAAGAGGTCACCGGTTCGATTCCAGGTCAGGACACATGCCTGGGTTGTGGGCTTGATCCTCAGTGGGGAGTTTGCAGGAGGCAACCAATCAATGATTCTCTCTCATCATTGATGTTTCTATCTCTCCCTCCCTCTCCTTTCCTCTCTGAAATCAATAAAAAAATATTTAAAAATTTAAAAAACCTTGCATTGAGCATGTTCATGGCAGCACTATTCACAATAATAGAAAAGGTGTGTTATGCAAAGTACTGAGGCCCCAGAAAACCTCAGCATATTGTTCGTGGATTCCAAAGAAAGAAATAAACCAGAGGGCTGGCTGTGAAGGACATGGGTTTATCAGGACTTATGTGAGCACTGGTGGTGGTCAATCAGTTAAGTTTACTACCGCACCAGCTGCCCCTGTGAAATTGAACTGCAAAGTCCCTCCCAGCCTGTAATGGGCTGCACCGGGGCAGCCTGCTGTGCTATTGTTTCACTGCCACCAGACTTTCTCAACACAAGGTTCTATAAAATACATAGAAAAACAGGGCATGCACTGCGGGAGGGACGGGCCTGTGTGAGATCAAAACACTAGCTGTTTCCCAGCCTGTGTGGTTCAGTGGTTGAGCATGAGCCAGATCACAGTCTGTTCTAGTTAGGGCACATGCCTATTGAGGGGTGTGTAAGAGACAGCCAATCGATGATTCTCTCTCATCATTGATGTTTCTACCTCTCTCTTCCTCTCTAAAATCAACAATCTATTGAAAAAACATATAAAATATTAAAACAAACAAACAAGAACACTAGCTGTTGAGCCCTGGCCAGTGTCAGCCCACGCACCAAGGGTCACAGGTTCGATTCTGTCAAGGACATGTATGTGGGTTGCAGGTCCATTCTCCAGCCCCAGTAGGAGAAAGTGCGAGAGGTAATCAATTGCTGTGTTTCACATCAATGTTTCTCTGTTTCTCTGTCTCTCTTTCCCTCCCTCCCTTCCACTCTCTAAAAATCAATGGGAAAAATATCCTCGGGTGAGGATTAACCAAAAAAACAACAACAACCAAAACACCACTAACTGTTTACAATCTAGAAGCAGTTTCTCTTTGGCATTCCTTCTGGCCAGGTTCCCAAGGCCTCTCAGTCCCCTTACAGGCGGTCTTCACTCTATTTCCAATAGGGTGGAAGCGGCCCATGTTCCCATTTACCACACAAGGTGGAAACAACCCAAATGTAATGAATGGATAAATGAATTGTGATGTATCCATATAATTATTCATCCACAAAAAGGAATCAAGTACCGCTACATGCAACAACCTGGATGTGTTGGTGGTGGCGAGAATGGCCCCAGGTGATAGGTGGGTGGGGTCAGACTGCACCTTGGTACTTGAGTTCTGGCTAGAAAAGAATTCCTAGCCAAAACTCAAACTATAAGGGAACATTTATTTAGAAAATCTCAGAGGTGGAAGAAGTGAGTGACAGAAGAAATGGGCTCAGGAGGTAACATGCCTTGTGGGGGAGGGAAGAAGTATAGAAGGGGGAAGGTGGAGGGTGTGCTCAGGGGAGGGAGAGCAAGCAGGGTCCTCCACCCTAAGGGCTTTAAGGGTGGGAATTTTAGGGGCAATCCTTGGGGAGGATCCCTATAGAATATTCATCAATTTGACAGCTGTATCTTTTTTTTTTTTTTTAATACATTTTATTTATTTTTATTTTTAAAAAAATATATTTTATTGATTTTTCACAGAGAGGAAGAGAGAGGGACAGAGAGTTAGAAACGTCGATGAGAGAGAATCATCGACCAGCTGCCTCTTGCAACCTGGGGATGTGTTCGCAACCAAGGTACATGCCCTTGACAGGAATCGAACCCGGGACCTTTCAGTCCACAGGCTGACGCTCTATCCACTGAGCCAAACCGGTGCTGGCTTTTAATACATTTTATTGATTTTATTTACAGAGAGAAAGGGAGAGGGAGAGTTAGAAACATGAATGAGAGAAACATCAATCAGCTGCCTAATGCACGCCCCCTACTGGGGATGTGGCCGCAACCCAGGTATATGCCCTTGATCAGAATGGAACCTGGGACCTTTCAGTCTGCAAGCTGATGCTCTATCCACTGAGCCAAACCGGTTAGGGCTCCAGGTGTATCTTTTCAGGGTCATGGTCTCCACTGATTGGCCGGTATCAGGGCAGAGGATCATCAGTAAATGCAGCTGGTCCTAAGGTCAGCTGCCAGGTTTTGTTGCTTTTCTTATAAAAAAAATATATTTTATTAATTTTTTACAGAGAGGAAGGGAGAGAGAGAGAGGAGTTAGAAACATCGAGTTGATCAGCTGCCTCCTGTACACCCCCTAACTGGGGATCTGCCCGCAACCAAGGTACATGCCCTTGATTGGAATTGAACCTGGGACCCTTGAGTCCACAGGCCGACACTATCCACTGAACCAAACCGGTTGGACTTGCTGCTTTTCTGTAACTGAAGTACAACTGAAGCCTAGATGTTATCCCTCAGGGTTAATGCTTAAGGGCTATTCTCCAGTCCCTTTGTTCACCCCCAACCCCCAACCCCATGACTAGCAACATGCCAGGGGAGGCAAGGTCAGGGCAGGGTCCAAACAGCGTGACCAGTGATATGGAAGGTCAGTGGGTCTAAATTGCATGATTAGAAATGTGCCAGGGGAGGAAAGGTTACCTTGAGGGCAAGGTCCTTGTTTTTCCAGCTTTGTCTGCTGCTTGGCACCCAGGGCTTCCTGCCCTGGTGACTTAAAATACCTAGTCCCTTGTTCTGATCATGTCTAACTGCTACCACAGATGAATTTTGAAAACATTATGCTAGGCTAAAGAAGCCAGAGGGTGCCCAGCTGGAGTGGCTCTGTGGTTGTGCATTGACCTATGAACCAGAAGGTCACGGTTTGATTCCCAGACAGGGCACATGGGGTGGGGAGGGGGCGTGCAGGAGGCAGTCCATCAGTGATTCTCTTCATTGATGTTTCTCCCTCTCTCCCTCTCCCTACTTCTTGGAGATCAATAAAAGAAAAGAAAAGAAAAGAAAAGAAAAGAAAAGAAAAGAAAAGAAAAGAAAAGAAAAGAAAGAGCCAGAGGCAAAAGACCCCACATGTATAATTTTATTTCTATGAAATGTCCAGAAATGGTAAATCCATAGAAACATAGAGTGGTTGCCAGGGGTTGGGGTAAGGGGATAATGGAGAGTGTCTGCTAATGGGTACGGGTTTTCTTTTGAAATGACAAAAGTTCTGAAATGAGATGATGGCGATGGTTGCACAACATTGCGAATGTTCTAACTGTCGCTAATGATACATTTTATGTGTATTTATCACAACTTAAAAAATATATACAAAAGAATAAGAGGCTTAGTGAAGCTAACTAACTGCGCGTGAGCCATCCCAAACTCGGTTTTACTCCATGACCCGGGCAACCAACAAGGGACGTTCTGACACCTGGTGGGGTTCGGTGACCGGAGGGCACCCCACGGACCTCTGCAGCTGAGATCCCGAGCCCGTTCCCGGCGTGGTGCCCAGGGCCATAGCACATTCTCAAGGCTGGCCGGGTGGCGCCGCCGGGCCGCCTCGCTCTCCAGCTCTCAAGTCCCGATGCAGCTTTCGGAACCGAGCCCAGCCCCTTCCAGTCCCGCCCCAGCCTTCCGTTCTCCTCTAGCGCGGAACCAAACCAAAGGGCCCAACTCTGGATCCAGACCGCTGCTTGAAAGTCGCTCCACTGTAAACCGAGCACTCCTAAGAAGCCCCGCCCATCACCTCCGTTATAAGCTCCGCCCACCTGCCAATCAAACCCACCCGGCCCCGCCCCGCCATCCCGGCGTCGTCTTTCTCGCTCCGGCGCGGCCCGTTGTTATGACGACACGGTCGTAAATCCGCCATCTTCCTGCGGCGCGTTGCGACATGGAGGGCGCAATGGCAGTGCGGGTGACGGCCGCGCATACGGCAGAAGCCCGGGCCGAAGCCAGGAGGGAAGCGGGCGAGGGCGGGGTCGAGGCGGCGGCGGCGGCGGCCTTGGCCCCTGGCGGCTTCCTCGGCCTCCCGGCGCCCTTTAGCGAGGAAGGTAACACGGCCGGATGCGGCGGGGTGTGGCCGGGGTGGGGGCCACTCTGCCGGGGCCGGCGGAGGCTCCGATTGCCTGAGCTGCAGGCGCCGCTGCCTTTCCCAGACCGGGGTTTCACGGGACCCCCCTGACACCTGCACGAGTCCCCGGGGTCCTCAGACTCTGGGGCCTCCCCTGCGGGCCGCCAGCCCTCCCCGTGTGTCCCGGTGCTTACTCTGGGGTCCTCACAGTTGCCCAAGCCTTCGGGGCCGTCCGCACGGAGACCTCCACGAACGCCTCCGCCGCCAGCCCTGCCCGCAGCCCCGCCGCCCGCCGGCCCCTCTGCTTCCTGTCTGGCCCGGCCCCGCTCTCCCCGGGCCCCCTCCCCTGGCACCTGACGGGCCGCCAGGGCCCTGGCTGGGCTGTGCTGGGGCTCCAGGAGGCGGGGCCTCGGGTTTCTGCAGGATTTGGGCTTTAGGCTGGCGCTTGGGGAGGAGAGCCGCTGCACTGCCGCCAGCCTGCGGGCTCCGTCCCAGACCTGCCCGTGTCTGGCTATTTGATCCTGGGCAGGTGACCGCACACCTCCCTCTCCATTTCCTGTTACAAATGGGGGTGCTGCTGATAGCACGGTGTCAAGCACTTAATCCGTGTCAGCTTTTCTCACCCTCAAACCAACTCTGGGCACTATTATTATTGTTGTTGTTATTTCCATGTTGCGAGGGAGGAATATTGAGGTTCAAAAATGTGGAAGCGACCAGGTCACGCAGCTAGTAAGTAGCAAGGACTGGATTGGATTCCAGGACTGTGAGACAGCTCAACACGCTTCTTAGCTTCTGCGTTCTGCCATTGCACAGGGCGGCGGCGAGAACGGAAATGGAGCATGTAAATCAGTGCTGGGACACACTGAGGGCTCATTCACAGAGAAGTAGCTTTTGGAGATAGAACTGAGGTCTCTGCCCTCTGAGCTTGTCCCATGCAGCTGTAGACTGGGCCAGACAGGAGATTGGCTCGTGATAGTGGGTTGGTGGTCATTGTCCCTACATCATTCCTATTCCTGGCACAGTTTTTTTCTTACTCCTTATTCCAGCTTGGGGAGGGACAGTACCAGTAGGGGCAGGGCCAGCTTGAAGAGAGGTCTCTTTGGAGATTGCTGTGTCTGCTGGGCTTGCCCATGGCACTGTCTCAGCATCACATGGGCTGGGTGTGTCCCCTTCTGCGGCAGGAGTTCCTTCAACCGCGACACCCTGGTGCCGAGTCAGACTCGGCAAGTTAAAAGGGTGGCGGACACCTCAGTGCTTGGCTTGTGACTCTGAGCCATCTGGATGGGACTGCCCTCTGTCAGGTGGCCCGTAGGCGAGTCATGGCTGGAGTTTGGCACTTTGTTTGCTCATTCATTCAATAGACATTGACCGCCCCTGTGCACCAGGCCTGGGTTTGACCCGAATGTGGGACTGCATAGGAGATGATGGAAACCAGCAGGCTTCTATGGAAGCGGAGGGAACACCTCCCCATCCCTTCGTATAAACCCATTTCTGGACCCTCAGGTTCAGGCTCTGGCCCCAACAGTCACCAGCTGGGTGGCCTTGAATCTCAGATTGCTTTTCTCAAGTGGAAATGGTGATTTCCATTTCCCCAGGGTGCTGCGTGGATGTGGTGACATCCCCAGGGAGGTGCCTGGAATGTGGCTCAGTGAGCAGGAGGGGCAGGCTCTGGCTGCTTGTTCCACATGGTGAGGGGCTCAGGTGCTGTGGCCCGAAGGTCTGGAGCCGCTCCCGGGTTCCATCCTGGTGTCATCACCAGAGCAGGGAGGGGCTGCCTGTTGGGACCAAGGAAGCACCAAGTCAGAGTGAGTGAAGAGTAATTGTGGGTCAGGGTGCCCCCTCTTCTGTGTTTGCCAAGGGCCGGCCTCTTAGCCAGAGCCCCGTGGGCATCAGCACCTCTTCTCCCTCTGTGTGCTCTGTACTGGGTCAGCCCATTTTGCAGTTGAGGGAACAGACCCAGATGTGGTCATTGAGGTACCCAAGGTCACATGCAAACCCTATACACCACTGTCCCCAAACTGGGTCGGTCAAATGCCTCTGCCTCACGACCGCCTCTCTGGGCTCCCCTCCCCTCATCTCTGAGGTGGGGCTTTGGACACGACGGCCTCAGTGGATTCCTGCAGCCAAGGGTACTGTAGAGCTGACCTCCAGAGGATGGGGCTTGCACCTTGGGCTCCGGAGAGTGCTCTCAGCCCCCAGGGAGGGCGCTTCTGGTTCTGATGCCACCCTGGGTGGATTTGGCCTGGGCCCGGAAGTCCTGCCAAGCCCCACTGACCTCAGGCTCGTTACAGATGAGGACGATGTGCATAGATGCGGCCGCTGCCAGGCGGAGTTTACTGCTCTGGAGGACTTTGTTCAGCACAAGCTCCAGAAGGTCTGCCAGCGGGCTCCCCAGGAGGCCTTGCCTGCCACCCCTGCGGCTGCTGCGCTGCTGGGTCAGGAGGTAAGCCCACCACCCACACACACAGCATGAGGAGGAGGTGGCCTGCGGGACAGACCTGTGCAGCTGGTTCCCAGTGATACTGGGGCAGGCAGAGAGCAGGCATCCGGTTTTGTGACTCTGAGATGACTGCCCCCTATCGGGGTGAGGGGGGATCTGGCTCTATTACCAAGAGCCTGCCACCCCATAATAAGAATGGCCAACTTTGTTGCACCCCATGTATACTTGGGGCTGTACACACACGTTAAGGCCCACAGCGCCCTGCACAGTGGGCACTCTTGTTCCCTCGGAGGGAAGTGGGAAAGGAGGCTCCAAGACAAGTCAGTTGCCTCAGGTCACTCCAGGGAGTAGCCTAGAGGACAGTGGGCCCAGAGTTGTCTCCCTTCGGCCCTGTGCTCTGAACGTGCCCCTCCCAGAAGTGCCCTCTCCTCTAGGAAGGGCCCTGGACCCACACCCCCAGAGCCCTTTCCTCTGACTCCTGGCTGGGGCTGGTGGGTGCAATTGCTTTCCTTCACCATCTTCGTTCCTGCACAGCCAGCTGAGCTTCGAGCTGGAGCTCTGATCACTTCCTCCAGAGTGCTCCCTGAGAGTGCTTGGTGCTCTGTGCTCCTCAGTGGCCAAAGGTGTTAGAGTGATGGGGCCGACACCCTGGGCCAGGCTGGGAGTTGGGCTCAGAGTAGTGACTCTCTTGGGGGAGAGGAGCACCTCCACCCAGCCATCTTGCATGGACATAAAACCAACCTGCACTCGCCAAACCAAGGGAGCTCCGGAGCTCCATAGATGGTTCCTTTTGTGCCTTGTTCACCATTGACAGGTGGTCCCGGCCGTGGCAAGTCCGGAGGAGCCCATCACTTTGGCCCACATTGTGGTGGAGGCAGCCGCTCTGACACCGGACATCAGCCACACGCCTGATATTGTTGGTAAGCTGGCCCCGCTGGGTATGTCCGCTCCTGGCTTTTAGCCCTGAGGTGTCGCTGACCTGGTAGCCATCAGTGGTCAGGGCTGGAGGCTGGGAACCTCTGCTGCCCACACTCCTCTGCTCCCCCGAGAGCAAGGCCTGGCCCTGGAGGAACTGAGGCCTCGTGTGCACCTTCCCCGGGGGATTGAGCATCAGGCCCTCCCCCGCCGGAAAAGGGGAAGCATGTTGCCTGGGCTGTCCTAGGATCTCCCCTACTTTTCTGCCATCCCCCGGGTTCCTTTTTCTTTCCCACAGTTGGCTTTGGAGATTCCGGGTGGGTATGCATGGGGTGCATCTGCTGCTCCAGCTCGGCCATGACCTGCCGTCTGACCTTGGCCTTCTACTCCCCAGTGCTCACTCCCTGTGGGGGTAGTGATTCCTGACCCGATTCTCACAGGCTTTTATGAGCATACAACGCCAAGTCAGCCTCTTTGATGGCTTTTTTTAAAGTTACCATAGGGGAGGGGTGTTGAAAGGTTTGGATTGGATCACACACTCATTAATTGGGGACAGGCCAATGCAGGGGGACATTCAAAGGGAAGCCCAGGGCTGGGGCAGGTGAAGAGCTCTGGGGCGGGGGTAGGGGGTGAGGCGAGTGAGGGTGGGGGAGGGGAGGTGCTGGGTGTGTGCACAGCAGGGGAGGGAGGCTGGGTTGAGTCTGCTGCCTCGGGAAGGGAATGGTGGTTACCTGGGGAGCCTGCTGGGCAGAGACTTTGACAGGTGCATGAGTGGGTTGAGGAGCTAAACAGGAAGTTTGGGCAACAGGTAGAATTTGCCCTTGGGAAGCTCTTAGGACCAGCTGGGGTAGAAGGAAGTGGTTGGTGGTGGAGGAGACGTGGGGGAGGGGAGCAGGCTTTTTGCCAAGGCCCCACCTCAGGGAGGAGATGGGACACCTGTCCTTGTCTCCATGCTATCTTTCCCCCTGAGATTCCTGTGGACACGGGGGTTCATCTGGAGCCACTCTGGCACAGGAATGTTGTCATGTGGGAGGTGGGGCCGTGCTCCAGCCCTGGCTTGGTGTTTGGTTTCTGGGGTGGGTAGAAAAACAAGTTCCCTGCCCTGGCTGGGTGGCTCAGTTGTTGGAGTGCTGTCCTGTACACCAAAAGGTTGTAGGTTCTGTTTCCGGTGAGGGCACCTATGGGAGGCAACTGAACAATGTTTCTCTCTCACATTGATGTTTCTCTCTCTCCCTTCCTCTCTCTCTAAAAATCAAAAGCATATCCTTGGGTAAGGATTAAAAAAATAAAAAGAAAGAAAGAAAAAAGATGCCAAAACCGGTTTGGCTCAGTGGATAGAGCATCAGCCTGCGGACTGAAAGGTCTCAGGTTCAATTCCGGTCAAGGGCATGTACCTTGGTTGCGGGCACATCCCCAGTAGGGGGTGTGCAAGAGGCAGCTGACCGATGATTCTCTCTCATCGATGTTTCTAGCTCTCTATCCCTCTCTCTTCCTCTCTGTAAAAAATCGATAAAATATATTAAAAAAAAAAGTCAGCAAAAAAAAAAAAAAAAAGAAGAAGAAAAGAAAGAAAGAAAATAGAAAAACAAATTTTCTCTGATTTGGTAGCATCTACCGGCTGCAGATGCTTGTCCAGTCAGGCATCTTCCCATCACCCTGACCTCCAACCTGCCCATGCCTGCAGCTCGGCACCCCCTGCCTCTCCTACACTCGTTGGGGTTTCTTTTTGCAGACATCCTGAGTGCCCCAAATGTCCCCTTGGTGTTAGCTGCCCAGGATTGGCCAGACTCTAAACTACCACCTGCTGTTGTCCCAGGGCTGGGAGTTCTGTGTCCTTGCATGGCCAGCGGGGGCTGCTGGGGCTGATTAGCAGCTAGATACCCACTCCTGCCTCTTCTTGGGAAACAAACTTGCATTTCTTCTAAAAATATATATTTTTTATTGATATTTTTTACAGAGAGGAAGGGAGAGGGAGAGAGAGTCAGAAACATCGATGAGAGAGAAATATCAATCAGCTGTCTCTTGCACACATACACACACCCACACCCACTGGGGATGTGCCCGCAACCAAGGTACATGCCCTTGACTGGAATCAAACCTGAGACGAGTCTGCAGGCTGACGCTCTATCCACTGAGCCAACTGGCCAGGGCTAAATTTTCATTTCACTTGTTACCGTTTCCCTGAACCTTTGGTCTACTGTATGATACATTCTGGGGCAGAGGAAAGATAAAACATCAGGCATGCTTTATCGTCTTATTATTATTATTATTATTAATATATTTATTGATTTCAGAGGAGGGAGGAGTGAGAAACATCAATGATGAGGGAAAATCATCGATTGGCTGCCTTCTGCCCACCCTCTACTGGGGATCGAGTTGGCAACCTAGGCATGTGCCTGGACTAGAAATTGACGCTCAGACACTGAGCCACACTGGCTAGTTCCTTATTTGTTGTGCTTCTGTTCTATTTGGAGGGAATGACTTGTCAAAACATGGTGCCAGCCTGATTGAGGCTTCAAAGAAGCAGTTTCACAACCATTCCCAACTGTCACTTTTATGAACAGAAATTTATGAAGTGTTTACAGCTTAGCTTTACACATTGTCAGATTTATTTTTTTAAAATATGTTTTTATTGATTATAGAGAGAGAGCAAGGGAGGAGGGAGAGAAAAAAATTGGGTGTTGGGTGGTGCCCCACCGCCCTTAGAAGTGGTAGGACCCTGTGCACATCTAGGGCAGTACTCCTGTTGGCTTAGGGGAGGGGGTGTGTGCTCACCGTGGTCTCCACTGGGTACATTCTGGGGGCCTGGGACTTCTTTAGCTCCAGTGTACCCAGCTGTATTCCTGGGCCAGGATCCCAGGAGGCGGTAGGGCCCACGGCATCCTGAGACTCAGGCTGAACTGCTTTCCTTTAGACAATGGGCACATCAAAGAGGTCATTGTGGCTGCTGAGGTGGATCCAGACGACAATGAGATGGCGGAGGCCTCAGGCAGCCCTGAGCATCAGGGGCCTGGGCTGGCCGGGCAGGGGGAACAGGCCCAGCTCAAGCTGCTGGTGAACGAGGATGGCCGCTACGTGTGCGCGTTGTGTCACAAGACCTTCAAGACGGTGAGCCCCAGGCCTGGGCTGGGTCAGCTCAGGGGACCAGGCCTCCTGCCCAGGGAGCTGCCTGAGCCTCGCTGCCCCTCCCCCTCAGGGTAGCATCCTCAAGGCCCACATGGTCACCCACAGCAGTCGTAAGGACCACGAGTGCAAGCTGTGCGGGGCCTCCTTCCGGACCAAGGGCTCGCTCATCCGGCACCACCGGCGGCACACAGGTGAGCGGGTTCCGCGTGCGGGGCGCCCCGCCTGCCCCCCGGCGGGAGGCTGTGGCTCCAGGCCCGCCTTCTTTACCCAAAGCTGGCTCCCTCCCGCAGATGAGCGTCCCTATAAGTGTGCCAAGTGCGGAAAGAGCTTCCGGGAGTCAGGGGCACTGACCCGGCACCTCAAGTCTCTCACCCCGTGCACCGAGAAGATCCGATTCTCCATGAGCAAGGACGCGGTTGTTGGCAAAGAGGACGCGCGTGCAGGTCAGCACGGCGAAAGCCCCCGTTCCAGCCCCGGAGCTGCGCTGGCCGGGCGGCTTCCTCACGGACTCTTCCTGGTTCTGCCTTAAAGGGCCCGGAGCCTCCGCCATGGGGACCGTTCCATCGTCACCGGCGATAGGAGAGCCCATGGAGACGTCGCCCGTGATCCATCTGGTGACGGATGCCAAGGGCACTGTCATTCATGAAGTCCATGTCCAGATGCAAGAGCTTCCCCTGGGCATGAAAGCCCTTACTCCAGAGGTGGGGGCCGCCTGGGGCCGTGGCCTCTGACTGCTCAGGGCCGGCTCTGTCCGGGCACCGGCTCCGGTGGGAATGGGACTGACTGGGCCTGCACCCTGTTTGGTTGCAGAGGTGATGAAAGACCAATGGCTGCCCTAGATGGGGCAGGCAAGAGCAGGTGGGCGGGGACGTGGGGCTCCCGGGGCATTCTTGAGTGAAGATATTGGGTGTGCACAGTGGTCCTGGGACCCCTTGGATTTCTCCTGCGTGGTGGGATCGGGTGGGTGCCATGTGCTGAGCCGCCCGGCCAACCTCCCTCCCTCCCTCCACCTCCCCCGCAGCCCCCTGCTCCCAAGGAGCGTCCCTGTTCCGGCGAGGACAGTCGGGAGAACCTGCTGCACCAGGCCATGCAGAACTCTGGCATTGTCCTTGAGCGGGTCACTGGGGAGGAGGGGGCCCTGGAACCAGTCCCTCCCGCTGCGTCCAGTGCCCAGCCCCTAGGAGATGGTCCCCCAGGACTGCCGCTGCTGGAGGTGGAGCAGGTGGAGACAGTAGGTACCTGTGCTGCCAGTGTGCTCGTTCCTGGGGGCCGCACCTTAGATGGAGCTGCTCATTACACTGGCCTGGCCGCCAGCCTCCTCGCTGTCCTCCCTGCTGTCCCTTTCTGCAGTGACTTTGTCCCTGATCTGCTTACCCCTAAGCCCATGATGGAGCCTGAGAGGGTGGGGGTACTACGGGTCTGTCCTTGGTACTGCTGGGGCCCAGCCTGCAGGGGATACTGGAAATGTGCTGTGGTCCCCCAGCAGGTGGCCAGTGAAGCCTCAGCAGTAGCCAGGACCCACCTGTGCCCTCAGTGCAGTGAAACCTTCCCGACAGCTGCCACCCTAGAGGCCCACCGAAGGAGCCACGCAGGTGGGTGGCAGGAGTGTGGGGCCCTGGTCAGTGGATGACCTGTGAGTGGCCAGGGTGGTCCCTGGGGCAGTGGTGGTCAGGGCAGGCAGCAGGGAGTTGTGGGGGGCCCTCGGGGGTTGGACGTGGCCTGACATTGCCTGTGGCCCCAGGGCCGAAGCTGTTCACGTGTGTGCAGTGTGGCAAGGCCTTCCCCAAGGCCTACCTGCTCAGGAAGCACCAGGAGGTCCACGTGCACGAGCGCCGCTTCCGCTGTGGGGACTGTGGGAAGCTCTACAAGACCATCGCTCACGTCCGCGGCCACCGGCGCGTCCACTCAGACGAGCGGCCCTACCCTTGTCCCGAGTGTGGCAAGCGCTACAAGACCAAGGTGGGCCCTCCAGCCCTGACTTCTGTCCGCCCAGCCCTGAGCTCCCCGCCCTGGGCCCGCTCCACCCCTTGTTTCTGCCCCAGCCCTCCCTGGTAGCCCTCTGCCCGGTGTTGGCTCGGACCCTCGCTGCTGGCCAATGAGTCCCGCCCCTTCCCTGGGAAAGCCTCCGTCTCAGGTGTGGACAAGGCCAGGCTGTCCTGACAGTGGGCCCCCTCAGAATGCCCAGCAGGTTCACTTCCGGACGCACCTGGAGGAGAAGCCGCACGTGTGCCCGTACTGCAGCCGTGGCTTCCGGGAGAAGGGCTCGCTGGTGCGGCACGTCCGCCACCACACGGGCGAGAAGCCCTTCAAGTGCTACAAGTGCGGCCGCGGCTTCGCCGAGCACGGCACGCTCAACCGGCACCTGCGCACCAAAGGTTGGGAGCTGGTGGGGGGCAGGAGGGGGGGGCGATAAGGGGCAGCAGGAGGCCAGCCCTGACTGAGCTCCCGCCAGGGGGCTGCCTGCTGGAGGTGGAGGAGCTGCTGGTGTCCGAGGAGAGCCCCACAGCAGCTGCCGCTGTCCTGGACGAAGACCCGCACACCGTGCTGGTTGAGTTCTCGTCCGTGGTGGCCGACACCCAGGAGTACATCATTGAGGTGGGTGCAGGGCAGGGCAGGGCTGGGATGTGGCCCAGGGGCACGCAGGGTTGACCTCTGTCCCTCTTTCCAGGCCACCACGGATGACGCGGAGACCAGTGAAGCTACAGAGATCATCGAGGGCACCCAGACGGAGGTGAGGGGCTGGGGGGGAGGGCGGGGGGAGATGTGGCGCCCTCACCCATCCTTGTGGGCTGAGCTGTGAGCCACCCACAGGTGGACAGCCACATCATGAAGGTGGTGCAGCAGATCGTACACCAGGCCAGCGCCGGGCACCAAATCATCGTGCAGAATGTGACCATGGACCAGGAGGCGGGGCTAGGTCCGGAAGCAGCTGCTGCGGACACCATTACCATTGCCACCCCCGAAAGCCTGACAGAGCAGGTGGCCATGACGCTGGCTTCAGCCATCAGCGAGGGCACTGTGCTTACTGCCCGTGCGGGTGCAAACGGCACCGAACAGGCTACGGTGACCATGGTTTCGTCGGAGGACATTGAGATCCTGGAGCATGCGGGCGAGCTGGTCATCGCCTCGCCAGAGGGCCAGCTCGAGGTGCAGACTGTCATCGTCTAGCATGGATCCCACTGGGCTGGGCGGCCTCAGGGACAAGGAACCTGAGCGTCCTTCCCACTCCTGCTCGGCCTGGTATGGACGAGACACGCACAGAATTCAGATGTTCAGACGTGGGAGTGTAAATAAGAGTTTTTTGTTGCTTTACAATAAAACATGAAAACCCACCACTTGTGACATTGCGGCAGGGGCACCCTGGCAGGCTCTCCCGCGGCAGCACCTGCCTGCCCAGGCCACGCTGTAAGCTCTTGCCTGGCCACCCCACCCAGTATTCCTGATGGGGCTGGCGACACCTTGGCTGTGTGTGGGCGTCACTGGCATGTGGACAGGCAGCCATCTGCTGGTGCCCTGCCCACTGGGATCTGTGACCCCAGCTTCCTGAGGCCCGAGGTGGTGCCTTGGGGCAAGGGACGTAGGCCAGGAGACCAGGAGTTCAATGTGTGGCCGAAACAGTGGTGGATGTGGAGCCGAGAATGAGGGGCTTTCCTGATGGGACTGCCTTGGTTTCCCTGAGGGGATGCCGTCCTGGGAGGGAGATTATGGATGACCTAGTTTCCAAGGGGTGGGGATAAGAACAGGCCTGGATTAAGGACCTGGCTGGCCACCTCCCTCATTGCTCATGAAGCTCTTGGGGTGTTGGCAGGGGCTTCTGAGTCCTGATTCTGACAGATTTGGGGGCTGGAGACTCAGGGTGGATCCCGTGTTGCTTTGCTGTCTGGGGTTTCTGTGGGACTGGGAGCCAGGAGTTCTGGCACCAACTTTGTTGAGGAGGCGGGACCCAACACAGCTGGCCCCTCCCTGGACCAGGACCTCAAATACCTGAGTGCCCAAGCATCAGACCTTTTGTCAGACTGAGCCTTGGAGTCTGGTACCACGGACACACTCCCAGCCTGGACCTCAAACCCTTACTTGGCCCCAAATCCTGAGCCTCTGGCACTGCCCTATCCACATCTCAGGTGAGTCTGGGGCTGGATGGTAATGGGGTCCCTCTGTTTGGGCTTCAGTTTCCCACGGTGTAGAAGGGCCACGAACCCAGCACACCACCCTGGGGAGAGCACAGGGGAGGCTGTGCCTTGGTGCTGGCGAACATGGGTGGCAAACCCTGTTAGGCTCCCAGGCCTGGGGAGGTGACGGTGGTTGGGTGAGTCCCATTCCTGGTGGGCGCTCAGGGCTGTGTCTGTCCCTCCCAGCCCCTACCTCGGAGCAATGGGACGGCCCCGGGCCCTGCTGGCTGCGCTCTGGGCTCTGGGGGCTGCCGGGGCAGCAGCGCTGCGCATCGGAGCCTTCAACATCCAAAGCTTCGGTGACAGCAAAGTGCTGGACTCGGACTGTGGCAGCGTCATCGCACAGGTGAGCGCGGCCTGGGGGGCTGCTGCCTCTGGGAGTGCAATCTGCCGTGCGTAACCCCCTCTTCCCCCTCCCTCCAGATCTTGGCAGGCTATGACATCACGCTCGTGCAGGAGGTGCGAGACCCGGATCTGAGCGCAGTGACCGCGCTCATGGAGCAGATCAACAGGTGCGGCGGGCAGGGCTCAGCGCCGGGAGCTCCGGCGCGGCGTCCTAGGCCTCGGAGCGGTGCTGACTCGGGCTTGGTCCTATCTCCGCAGCGTGTCTAAGTACCAGTACAGCTACGTGAGCAGCGAGCCCCTGGGGCGGGATCAGTACAAGGAAATGTACCTGTTCGTTTACAGGTGAGAGGGTCGCAGCGTGTAGGGTAGGAGGCTGCTGGCTTAGCGCACCCACCCGCCCTTCGCCCGCAGGGAGGACGCGGTGTCGGTGGTAGACACGTACCAGTACCCGGACCCGGAGGACGCCTTCAGTCGTGAACCTTTCGTGGTCAAATTTTCAGCTCCCGGCTCCGGTGAGGCCCCGCCCCCGCCCCTGCGGGCCCCGCCCCCTGCAGGCCCCGCCCCGCCTGACACCCGCCTCTCCCACAGCCGCCAAGGAGCTGGTGCTGGTGCCGCTGCACGCCGCGCCGCACCACGCGGTGGCGGAGATCGATGCCCTCTACGACGTGTACCTGGACATCATCGACAAGTGGGGCAGCGACGTAAGCCCGCGTCGCACAGCCCTGGGTCCCCGGAGGCAGGCCCGCACAGCCCTGGGGCTCCTGGAGGCCCGGGCTGGCTGACCCTGGTCCCCCGCAGGACATGCTGTTTCTGGGCGACTTCAACGCGGACTGCAGCTACGTGAAGGAGCACGACTGGGCGGCCATCCGCCTGCGCAGCAGCGAGGTGTTCAAGTGGCTCATCCCAGACAGCGCGGACACTACCGTGGGCAACTCGGACTGCGCCTACGACCGCATCGTGGTCTGTGGTGCCCACCTGCGCAAGAGCCTGAAGCCCCACTCGGCCACGGTGCACAACTTCCAGGAGGCATTTGGCCTGGACCAGGCTCAGGTGAGTGCTGAGCTCCATGGGGCGTGGGGGTGTCCCAGGCTGCTCTGCACTGGCAGACAGGCCCAGGCTCAGCCTCAGGGACCCAGTGACCCCCTCCCTGCCCTAGTTTCTGGAAAAGGCTCCTACAGGGTCAGTTCTGGCTGAATGGGACAAGCCTGGGAGAGCGGAATAAGATGCCTTCGCCTCTCCCAGAGGTAGGGTCCGAGTCTGTGCCCAATCCCCGCTTGCAGGCAACAGCAGGGACACACAGCCCAGGCCTCACTGGCCTGCTCCCCCAGATGCAGTGGTTTCTTACAAACCCAGTGGGCTTCATCCTAGGTGGGGGCTGCTTCTCTGAGGTGAAGCCTCGGGAAGGACAGGCTGCCCAGCAGGGCCACTGAGATTTGGCCCCTCTCACTCCAGGCCCTTGCCGTCAGTGACCATTTTCCTGTGGAGGTGACCCTCAAGTCCCACTGACAGCTCCGAGGACTGGCCAGGGCATGCTGCCGCAGCCTGGCTGAGGAACAGCTCCACAGGACTCCTATAAAGTGCCCTCAGCAAGGCTGCAGGGCAGGGTGAACTGGGCCCGGACATTGACACGTTACTGGGACACAGCCTACCATTACCTACCTCACAGGTGTGAGGAGCGACCCGGAGCACTGGGTGTGGCTCTGCTCAATAAACAAGAGAGCTCAGCTAGGACCACAATCAGGTCAGCTCAGAGGCCTCCGTGTCTTCTTAGGATTGTCTCCGGGCAGCCCAGCAGGTTCTTTAGGGCAGCGATCGCCAACCTATTGGACCTCATGGACCAGCGGCTGGCGGCCGCTGCTTAGGGGACAGGCTCAGTCTGGCTGCCCATTCCACATCCTGCCGGAAACGGCCCCCTGCCTGGGTAGGTTCTCCTCAGGAGCCCCGTGCTGGGCGAGGACTGGCCAGGAGGACATGCCTGAATCCCAGGTAAACCCATCGCCTGAGGATCGGGAACAGGCAGAGCTGGAGTTCACAGCATAACTGAGAGGCGCCTGGTGAGCTTTCTGGTTTTTGGCAGGATTTGATAACTGTCTTGAATTGTATGGTGGGAGGAAAAGCCTTTTTGTCAAAAGTTGGAATAGGTTTTTCTTGACAAGTCTTTAAAATTAAGATCTAGGACACTTGTAACATAGAATGCCTCTCAAATAATGCCTCTCTTGACCCTTGAAGTTCCCTGATTTCTTCGAACTGTCATACATTCCCTCTATCTAAATGAACAAATGTGGTAGTCAAAGGGTTTTTCTCTGGGGGGGGGGGAGGGTGTGGGAGGAGAGGAGAAGTGTCTTGTGTGGATCATCAGGGCCCATGACTCTCTCTCTTATGCTTCTAGCAATCAGGCAGCCGAGAGGCCAGGGATAGGACAACCTGAGAACTTAGTGACAAGTCTTTTTTAACACTCAACTGAGGACATTTTCCCCATTAATTTTTAGAGAGGGTGGAAAGGAGAGAGCGGGGGGGGGGGGGGGGGGGGAGAGAAACCTTGATGTGTCCCTCCCACATTGATCCGTTGCCTTCTACACACGCCAGGGACTGGGAATTGAACCCGTGACCATTTGTGTACGGGCCAACACTCTAACCACTGAAACACACTTGCCAGGGCTTTAGTCACAATTCTTTGGAAAGGAGGAACTCAGTGGTGACACTGCCCAGGTCCAGAATAGTTCCGCCTGTCAGTTCATAATTCCCAAATCCAGATACTGCCCGCCAACCCCACTCTGCCCACCTGCCAGGCAGAAAATGCACTCATGAAGGTGGTGGTGGGTCTTCGGCCCTGGCTACAAGGAAAAGGCCCTCCTAGGAAGATCAGCAAAACAAAGAGCTGGAAGGATTTTTAAGTCGGAAAATACCTTGTTTAACCCCTTGAGACCAGAGCGCCCCGGAAGGCACGGTGCGTAAGCCTAAAACCTGTGTGGGCAGCCCGGCCGTCAGCCTTTCTTCTGTTTGAGCTTCTCTAGGTAAATCTGCAAGGACTTCTGAATAGAGTCTCTGGAGACAAAACTGACAAAGTTCTTGATGTCATCATCACGCTGTTTCACCAAGCGGTCCACAGTGGGCTTTCGCATCATGTTCTTGGTCAGCTGTCGAGCGTGATCTAAAGATAACAGGGTCCATGTGTGAAAAATAATTCCCAACCTTCCTGAGAGTTCCAACACAAACATTGTATAAACTGCCTTTTTAGCCCAACCAGTGTGGCTCAGTGGTTAAGCTTCAATCCACGAACCAAGTCACAGCAAATGCCCGTTTCAGGTTCAATCCCCAATAGGGTTTGTACAGAAGACAGCCTATCAGTGACTTTTTTTTTTTTTTTTTTTATCATCATTGATGTTTCCATGACTCTCTCCCTCTCCCTTCCTGCTTCTGAAATCAATAAAAAAATAATTTGCATTTTTAGCCTATTTATTTTCACTCAACTATATTATTGAGATCTTCCTTTTATTAAAGATTTTTTATTTTCATTTTTTTATTTTTAGAGGGAAAAGAGAGAGAAACATCAATGTGAGACTGCCTCATGCATGCCCTCAACTGGGGATCTAGCGGGCAACCTGGGCATGTACCCTAACCGGGAATCAAACCAGCAATTTTTTTTTAACTTTTAAAAATATACATATTTTAATGGATTTTTTACAGAAAGAGAGAGGGACAGAGAGTTAGAAACATCGATGAGAGAAAATCATTGATCAGCTGCCTCTTGCACACCACCCACTGGGGATATACCCGCAACTAAGGTACATGCCCTTGAACGGAATCGAATCTGGGACCCTTCAGTCCACAGACCAACACTCTATCCACTGAGCCAAACTGGTTTCGGCAAACCAGCAACCTTTTAATGCATGGGATGAAGTCCAACCAACTAAGTCACACCTGCCAGGACTTATCAAGAATATTTTCCAAGTCACTCAATACCCTATCCTAGGTAACAGCTGCACAATATTCGGTCATCCCATGTCTGAGCTGAGAATTGTTTTTACATTTTTATATAGTACTAGAGGACCAGTGCATGAAATTCGTGCACTCTAAGGGGGAGGTGTGGGGAGGTCCCTCAGCCCGGCCTGTGCCCTCCCTCTCACAGTTCGGGACCCCTTGAGGAATGTCTGACCAACGGCTTAGGCCCACTCCCTATGGGGTGGCCTAAGCCCTCAGGTGGACATCTTTAGCTCTGCTGCAGAGGTGGGAGTGCCTCCTGCTATAGCTCTGCCCTCGCCAGCTGTGAGCCCTGCTTCTGGCTGAGCAGCGCTCCCCCTGTGGGAGGCACTGACCACCAGGGGGCAGCTCCTGTGTTGAGCATCTGCCCCCTGGTGGTCAGTGCACGTCAGGTCACTCCACTGTTCGGTCAATTTGCATGTTAGCCTTTTATTACATCGGACAGTTAAACCACAAAAAGGGTAGTATGTTGTGATGTGAAATTACATGAAATAAAATTTCAGTGGCCCTAAGTTTTATCAGAACATCAACATGCTCATTAGTTCACATACTCTCTGTGGCTGCCTTTGTGCCACAGTGTGACGGAGACTGTGTGACCCACAAAGCCAGAAATCCACCTGGCTCTTTCATGGTCTGCTGACCCAGGTCCCTATTGTAGTTGACGTAACTTGCCCTGTTTCTATAAATAAGACATACAGGATGTAAGTCCTCACCACCCTTCTAGAACCAATGCATGTGGCCTTATTTGGAAAAGGGTCTTTGCAGATGCAATTAAGATGAGGTCCTTCTAAAGACAGGAAAGGGAGATTTGGAATAAAGGAGATCATGGGAAGATGGAATTAAAGATTGGAGTGATGAGAACACAAACCAAATAATGTCTGGAGCCACCAGGAACTGAGAGGAAGACAGGAACCCCCCTAGAACATGTGGAGTGACCGTGGCCCTATTTACAACTTGGTTCTGGACTTCTGGTCTCCACTCGGCGAGAGAACACATTTGTTTTAAGCACAAATGATCCACCTGTGACCATTTGTTATAGTAAGCCCAGGGCACTAAGCAGTCTGCATGTTCTTGACTTGCACAGTGTCCTTTCACATGAGAACTTCCTGGTCTCACCAAGAGGATCAGGCTAGGGAGGGAAGGAGGCTTTGCTTGCTCACCAGAACCCACAGTGGCTGTCCATCCCTGTGCTCCTCACCTGGAATGGCCATCCACTTGGCCATCACTGAGAGCACTGTGCTCTGCACCTGGTCCTCAGGCACCACCTTGTCCACGATGCCAACCTGGAGGGCCTCTGCCGGCGGGAAGAGCAACCCCAGCTGCAGGGCACGCTCTGCGGCACGGTGCCCAATGGTGTTCACAAGGGTGTCTTTGAACCTGGAATGCAGACACCCACTCACCTGGGGCTGGGGGCTCCCCGGAGGGTTGGTTCATCCCTGGGCCAAGTGGAAAATGGGTGCAGTTCCTGGCCTTACCAGAAAGGGGCGACGATGCCCAGCAGGGTCTCATTCAGCCCAATGGCATATCTGGGGTTGTCAGCCAGGACCCGGTAGTCACAGGTAAGGGACATCAGGCAGCCTCCAGCAGGGCTGGCTCCCTGCAGGGGAGGCAAGACCAGTGGGCTCTGGGCGCTGCTGTTGCTGGTCCCAACGGTATTCCAGAGAGCCAGGGTCCCGAGAAATGCCCGCAGTGTGTGAGCTCTCACACCGACCTAACCTGCCACCCCCCCCCCCCCCCCCCCCCGCCAGCTCAGGCTCTCCTGGCACCTTACCTTGGTTGTCACCACATCTCTTCAGGGCACTAGTTCTGGAGCATTAGCTTCAGCACCTTACCTTACCGGTCTGTCCCTGCCTTCCCCAGGTCAGGCCAAATGATGTTTTCAAAATGTGGATCCAATTCCCCACTTGCTCCCCACATAGCCCTTGGATCCTGGGCCTTGCCCCCACCTCAGTGAGTGAGTTGACCCTGTGACCCCTACCTTATTTGTCACATGTCACAGTGATCTGTAATGGCATGCTTACCTGTGCACATCTCTCCCCAAGACACCCTTCCTCTCTGAGGGCTTCCCGAGGGCAGGGCCACATCTGCATTCCCCCCTAACCAGCCCCCCGTCCCCCTCACCCCCCGCACCCCAGCCTCCAGGGAGTCAGCAAGGCCAGTGGAGAGTGGGAACACTCACATTGATAGCGGCAATCAGCACCAGATTGGACATGTAGAGCCGCAACCACATCTCCTGCACAGCCTTCCAGTACTCAGCGTAGTGCGCTGGGTTCCTCCCGCACATCTCCCTCAGGTCCAGGCCAGCTGAGAAGACCCCGGGGCTGTCCTGGGTGAGGGAGGGAGCAGGGCCATTCAGAGTCCACCTTCCAGGCCAATGTGCTCCCAGAGCAGGGGAGCCCATAGGTGCTCAAGGGGCAGCAAGGCTGAGGTCTTGCTCAGGGGGAGGCAGGACAGTGCCCCAAGGAGCTCAGAGCTGGGGCTCTAGGACTCAGCCTCAACTTCCCTGAGGCTCGGTTCCTTCTTGGTCCTGGGAAGTTCTTCCCTTTCCAAATTCAAACTGGAAAAGGCAGAATAGGCAGGCGAGGTCAGGCATCCCCCAGGCTCTGTGCAAACCTATGTGTTATCCAGGCAGAAAGCTAAAGGGGCTGGGGAGGACCTCTGACAGTCTGTTGGGCACCTGTTGATGTACTGCTGCCGACTGCTGCGGACAGGAAGATGCTGCTGTCTGGTCAGGAGAGGGGCAGTGACCAGTCAAGAAGCTAGACCTCTGCCCTGGGCTGTCACATGTGAGACAGAAGCCTGGGGAATGAAATATGTCCTGTATGGATGCCCGAGGTCAGGAAACAGCTGCCGAGGAAGGGAGGGAGCAAACACAGAGGAGTGACAGGCTGAAATAAGGGGCTGCAGCACGATGGCACTTTCCAGCAGAGGGCACCAAGTTCTGGGTGTTCACAGGGCTGTCGGCCAAGAACGCAGACAGGGAGGATGGCTCACAGCCTTCACTTGGAAACACCCACCCAGGGGCTCCCATGTGGGCACAGCACCTCTGAGCAAAGGAGATGCTCCCACACTCCCATCACTGGGGGATGGGATGCCTGAGGCTGGTGCCGACTAGAACTGACTATGGGAACCACACCGCTTATGAGAATGACAACCACCATTGTCTGTGAAGAGCAGGCAGATAAAAGATGGGACACACAGTTCCCTCATGTTAGAGCACAATAAAGAAAATGCCATGCTATTGATACGACATCTTAAGTGGGGTATTTTCAGAAATTACCCAGGGTGAAAAGTTCCCAGGCAATTTTAGCATCTCCGGAAAGTTCTGCTGCGACTGTCAAAAGTTCCCTGGGATTTGGTCACCAGGCCCTCAACAATCTACACCCACAATATCAGTCCCACCTTCGGAGAAACATGGGATAATCTCTCTTCCAAGGCATGGGCCACGCTTTGTTCTGCAAACCCCAGCTTCACAGTATCCACCAGGTATACACACTCAGCTCCTGGTCCTTGTCGCTGGCACAGTGCTGTTCCCCCAGGGTCAGAGGCAGCAGGCTCCTCAGAGCTTTGACAATACCAGGCTATTCTGTCAAAACCGGTTTGGCTCAGTAGATAGAGTGTCGTCTGTGGACTGAAGGGTCCCAGGTTCGATTCCGGTCAAGGGCATGTACATTGGTTGTGGGCACATCCTCGGTGGGGGGGTGTGCAGGAGGCAGCTGGTCAATGTTTCTCATTGATGTTTCTAGCTCTCTATCCATCTCCCTTCCTCTCTGTAAGAAAAAATCAATTAAAAAAAAAAAATACCTGGGACAACCTGAGGGATGAGAAAGCAGATGTACACCTACAGTGGTTGCTCCAAATCTTGGCTGAAAGAGGCTGGGGCACCTTTACTACTGATGGCAGGTCTCTAATATGGTGGCACTTAGCTTTGGGGACCCTCCTAACTTGAAAGGTGACCCTAATACTCTTCCTGATCCGACAAATGGCCTGTTAAATTGGGTCCACACTTCACCTCCCTGGCCTGGTCTTATCTGTGTCCTCTCTTGGCACCTCTGGTGCCTGGCAGAGCAGGTAAGCCTGATGCCAACTGGAGGAGGGTAGGAACACATGAGATGCCAAGTCCTGCGGGTCTGGGCGTTAAACCAGCCCAGGTTCTGAGACCACTCAGGGAGGGCACCCCAGGAATCCACTGCCCAGTTTGCACAGATCTAGACCTCATGAATCAACGAGGGCTCAGGATTGTGCCTGCAAAAACGTCACCTGCCTCGGACCACGATCCCCAGAAATCTCTTGTGGCCTCTGCATCCACGGCTGCCTAGGTATTCCAGACTGTGACATACAGATGGTCTCCGAGTCTAGACTCTGATCTGGTAACAGAGTTACACTTTGATCAGGGAACCCTGGGACACAGGGCAGTGACAAGCACCCACCGAAGTTAAGATGACGCCTCGGAAGGTCTTGTCATTCTCCAGTTTCTCCAGACTGATGACGAACTCTGTCAGAAACTCTAGGCTGAGGCTGTTCACTGGGGGGTTCTTGAACTTCATCACAGCAATCCCTAGTGTGAAAATGAAGAGGAAGCTCATGCCCAGCATTGGAAAGGTACCCCTCGTTGCCCTGCACCCACATCATGGCCATGGGAAGTTACATGGTTTTTAAAAATTGAGGTGATACTTGCATAACATAAATTAACCCTTTAAAAGTGAACAATTCAGCCTAGCTGGTTTGGCTCGGTAGATAGGGCATCGGCCTGTGGACTGAAGGGTCCCAGGTTCGATTCCGGTCGGGGGCACATGCCTTGGTTGTATCCCCAGTGGGGGCGTGCGGGAGGCAGCTGACCTATGGTTCTCTCGTGTCACTGATGTTTCGCTCTCTCCCTCTTCCTTCCTCTCTGAAATCAATAAGAACATATTAAAAAAATTTCCATCACCTAAAAAGGAAGTGCTGTACCAATTGGCAGGGCAGTCACCATTCCTCCTGTGCTAGCCCCTTGCCACCACTGATCTATTTCTGTTGCTATGATTTTGCCTACTGTGGACATTTCATGTAGTAAATGGAATCATATGTGACCTTTTGTGTTTGACTTCTTTTCACTTAACATGTTTTTAACAGGTATCAGTGCCTCATTCCTTTTTTTATTTTAAGAGAAGAGAGAGAGAAGCATCAATTGGTTGCCTCCTATAGGCGCCCGACCAGGGATCAAACCCACAACCTGGGTATGTGCCCTGACTGGGAATCGAACACACGACCCTTCGGTGCATGGGAAAATGCGCCAACCGAGCCTTAAGTCAGGGAAGCCTTATTCCTTTTTTAAGTCAAATAATATCCCGCTGCACATTGCATTCTGTCTATCCATTCATGTGCTGATGAACACTTGGGTTGTTCCACCTCTTGTCAATTGTGAGTATGCTTCTGTGAACATTCACGTACAAATTTTCCTTCCACACAAGTCTACTGTCTTTGTGGGAGTAGGAAATAGCCTTAGTTTCTTGAGGAGTGAGTGAGCAACTCTGAGAAGTAGATGTGCAAGGAGGAATCCAGGGAGGTACTCTGGTTCTCGCTTATTTTATTTTTAAACTTGTCTTTATTGTTGAAAGTACTATAGCTGTCCCTCTTTTCCCCCTGTTAACCCCCTCCCCAAGCCTTCACCACACCTACTGTCTGTGTCCATGGGTTATACATATCACATGTAAGTTCTTCGGTTATTCTCTTCCTGCCTCCTCCCCACTTCCCTCTGAGAATCATCAGTCTGTCGCAAGCGTCCATATCTCTGGTCTATTTTGTTTGTCAGTTTGTTTTGTTAATTAGATTCCACATATAAAAGAGACCATGTGATATATGTCTTTCTCTGACTGACTTTGCTTAGCATAATCTCCAGGCCATCCATGTTACCTCAAAAAATAACATGGAGTACTTTTTGGTTGTATCAAACTTGTTATTAAATATAATCATATACTGTTTAAAAAAATTAAAAAAAATAACATGGAGGGACCTTCCCCCTTTTTTTGTTTATGCTTATCTAAGGATAGAGGCAAAAAATATTGGGGGGAGGGGTGTCAGATGTTCTTCATTCAATCATAATGCCAGCAGCAGGAAAAGCAGTATGGACAGGGCCTGCCCGCCCTCGGGGACAGTGTAGCTGCCAGCCTGGGGTGGGGGGGTGGGGGTGGGGGTGGAGCATCTGTTCTCACTGCCTGGGCAAGGGCAGCCCCCAAGGACTTCCGATATGGCCCCGTTCATTTGGTGCATTTGCCTGGCCAGGGCCTTGGAAATCTCTGGACCGTCAACACACACCATTCTGCAAGAGTAAGGACTAAGTCCTAAAGAATCTTTTGAGGCCTCTAATTTAGGAGGAAGAGGTAATTATTACATACAAGAAGCAACCAAAACTTCCAGAAGTGAGTTACCCAAACTTGGTTCAGTAGGAAGTTTCTGAAGGTGACCCTGGATTTTTGTGGAGCTGTTGGGGTAGAATTGAGGACACTGGGCGAAAGGTAAAGAGGCCAAGGGTGAACAGGAGGTAACGAAGAGAAATTTGGATGAACTTGGATGAACCAGAGGTAAGTAACAACACACCTGGCACAGGGTGATTATTAAAATAAATATTGCAAACGAATCTAAGACCAGTTTCAGTAGCAGCACTTAAATAAAAAATTTTAAAGGCACTTTTACTGCATTACTTCATCCAAGCCTCCAGATTTCTGAAAGCTAACTAACTGGGCCTACCAATGAGGACAAAACCAGCTCTGGCTTTAAGACCCCAAACTTGACTTTCTAACAAGCGAACAAAGCTAGTGAGTTCTGTGGTGGGGTGGGAACACACTTGGGTAAAAAATTACCTCAACAATACCTTTTAAATACAACAAAATTTACCATTTAAACCATTTTTTAAGTGGTGTTAAGGGGGTGTGGCAGCCTTTACCACCATCCATTCCAAAAGTTTAAAAAGTGTTGTTGCGCTTTTTATATGGCTAAGGCCTTCATGTCCTAAAATCCAAAACTTTGCCCATCTCTGACCTCCAGCCTTCTTTCTCTGTACCCAGCTCTGGAGTGCCCAGGTGTTTCTTTCAAAAGTGCCTTTTCTATCCCCTTTGGAGAGCCGTGGCGGTATTAGGGGTGATTCCACTAGTGGATCCTGGCTTTAATTAGTGCAATATCTGCTGGGTTCTGTGCCACGGGAAAGTATTAAGAAAAAATAAAATATTTTATTCCAAAAATACTTCCAATTATTTTCAGTTTCCAGTTGAATAGCTTAACGGGGCACAGACCCCAAGCCCTTGAGGAGAATAACAGCACAAACTGCCTGGCGGAGCCTGCCCTGTCAGCGCTGCCCGGCATTCTTCAGTCTCGCCTTTCTCGGCCTGGCAGCGGGCAGTGGAGGAACCGGCACCGCACGCCGGAGCCCGGCCGCCAGGCACCGGCACCGGCACCGGCACCGCACGCCTAACCTCTGACCCCGCGGGCCGGCGCGCGGAGCAGGGGGGCGGGCGGCGGGAGGCCGGGCTGCGGAGCGCGGGGCGCGCTTACCTGCGGCCGGGTCCGGCTCCACCAGCACCCGCTGGTTCCCGAAGCGTCGCACGCCACCGCCGCCGCATGCCGCCGGCTCTGTCCGCCCGAGGGCCGCGCCCGGGAGCCGGGCCCCTGTGAACGGCAGCGCGAGGCCCGTTAGCTCGCCCCCCACCCCGGCCCCGGCCCGCACCCCGGCCCAGCCCTCCCACCGGAGGTCACGCACACGCGCGGAGCAGGGCGCGCGCCGGGACGCGCATTCCCGTCGCCAGCGCCATCTTGACTGGAAGTGGTGGGGCCGCGGCGCGGGGGCGTGGCCTCACTGTCCGGCGGGAAGGCCACGCCCCCTCCCCCAGCAGTACCTCCGCCCGCCGCCGAGGTCCACTCCGCCGCCCCGCGGCTCAAGCCCGCCCCGCCCCCGCACCAACCAGGACGCTAAGCTTCCGGGTCCGGGCCTCAAGCCCCTCCTCCTGGAGGCTTTCCAGGTGCAAAGGGCTTCACTGAGCTGGTTGCAGGACTGGCGTGGGCCGCTGACCCAAGACAGACCATTCCCATAAGTCCCACAGGACAGACCCGCACCGCCACCTACAGTTTAGCCCATGAGAGGCTGGCAGGCTTCCCAACCTGGCAAAGATCAAGTTACCAAAGCAGGAGTGTTGAAACTGGGAGTGACTGCACATAACTCACAGAGGTCAAGGAGAAGTTTGTCAGTTAAGGGTAATAGGGACTTTGGGAACCCTGGCAAACTGACACCGAGAAACAGATGGGAGCCCGGAGCTGCCGCAAGTGTGAGCTCTGCCTCCTGCCTGTGGTGGGGGAAAAATTGAGGAAGTAGCTTACGAATGGGAATCAGCATAGCCTGGTGATTAAGGAGGGAATATCTGCCTTCCCCCAGCACACTTGCTGAGACTGCAACCGGCACTAATGGCAGGTTGCTACCTTCTCCGCAAGAAATAGTGGGTGTTTTCATTTGCTTGAAAATATACCCAATAAACAAATAAAGATGACCTGAGAGGCAGGGGAGCAAGTCTTTATACCGCCTGGCAGGACATGGTCTTGTTCCGACCATTCAGCTTGCACAGTGAGCACAGGAAGAGTCAAGTGAAACATCAGATAATTCGAACTTTTGTTCTTTTAACACCTTAGGTGTTTCAAAATCTTCCTCTTGGAACAAACCAATTTATGATGAGGAAAAAGTTTTTTCCATAATACCAAATATAGCAGCAGCAAAGACCCACGTTTCCAGTCAGGCAGAACTAGAAGTTCCGGGAATATAAAGGTGATAAAACATCTTCCTCATGTATGTCTATATGGAGGAGCAACCCAACTGACCAGTGTTCTTGTTTGATTTTGGTGGTGTGACTTTGAAAACGAAGTCAATTAAGAGCTTAGGCAGCCACATGTCCCTCACAATCTAAGCTATCTTTGGGGCCAAGAGACAGGAAGAAAGCAGTGAACCCAACACTCAATATGCATTCAATTCCTAGATTTATTCAACACAATTCTTTTACTCTACACACCAAAGTATAAACACATTATCTAAAATGCTACAAAGTTACAAAAAAATTCAAAACAGAAAATTCATAGTACTGACTGTACAATAATTGCCGAAAAAGCAATGTACACGTTGTCAAGGTAACCCCAAAAGCCACCGCGAAGGGGGAGAAGGTCTGTGATGACCTTGTAGAGCTCTCAGTTTGCTCATCAATTTCAGAGAACAGATGTGCCACATGGATGTATGTACATGAGTACATGTGAAAACAGAACCATTTACAGCAACTAACATGGGATGTTTCTCTAGAGGTCAGAACAGGGGAGCACAGCCAGGTTAAGAGGAACAGCAGCTGCACAAAAGGGATCCTCAGGCTACTAGACAGGCCCTCGGTCATCTATGGAATGGAAACGTGCTCCCAGGCGGGGCAGCACTGCTCCCTGGAACCCTGCTCTGTTCCTGTTGGCTCTGCCACCAAACTGACCCTCGGAGACTGGAAATGTGGGAACTTTCTAGCTATGAAACTGGAGAGCATCTTCATAGGCACAACCCCAAATCAACAACACGTCTGCAGCCAAACTTGGCCTTCAGAGGAAACGTCTCAATGCTCCTTTGGAAGCCTGCCCCTGAGTGAGGATTTGTTTCCTACGGACTCTCCTTCAGCTATAAACGTGACAGAACTGAGTTGGATAGGGTATAAATTTCGGGGCAGAGCTTCGGTGGCTTGCTTATCGGGAGGAATTGGAGCTGGAGCGGCTCCGGTGGCGGCGGCGGCCGGGGGAGCGAGATCGCCGACGCACGGGGGACCTGCGCCGCGGGGAGCGTGACCTGTGGGAAGAGGAAAAACATCAGACGCTGAAGCTCATGCCATGGAAGCAGCTCTGCATCTTGGACGCTGGCTTCTTTTTAGAGCAATTTTGTACAGCTTCCTGGTTCAACACTTCGAATCAGGAAAGCTTGCAAAGGAAAGATGTTCTGGAGTTTTGGTGCAATCTGCAAGGGCCACACCTGGTGGTTTCTTTCCCTTCCCCCTGCTGTAATGAACATGAGCTTTGAAGGCGCATCATGGTGTGTGTGCACTCGTGCATGAGTACATGTGGGGCTGAATAAATCCCTAAGTCATTACCGTCACAGTGTGGTGTAAATAAAACAAACCCAAACTGCCCCCGTCTCCTGTGAAACCCCAAACTGACTCACCTTCTCCTCATTCGTGGGGGTGACCGACGCCACATGGGAGGCGGTGGTAGCATTCTCCTGGGAGGGCTGAATCGCCTGGGGGGTGGCCTAGGCCAGGGGGCCAGCACAGCAGTGGCCGTGATTTCCTGGCCATCAATTTGTCCTGTTGAAAAAAGGGTCAAGTCACAAAAGATCTAACATGTCCCTAATCACGTCAGATGTAGGCATACCATGGAAAGCAAGACAAATGGGCCCTGGGAATAAAGACAAACTCAACTCCTCACAGAAATAACCACACAATTATTATCATTGAAGGTTTCATTAAGAAAACTGTAAGTGGGCCTAGAACATTACTGGGTACTCAATCTTGATGCCCTGGGATGGCCTCCCAGGGTCTACATCTAAAGAACATGCTGGAGAGAGATGCAAATCAAAACAACAATGGGGTACCATCTCACACCTGTCAGAACGGCCAACATCAACAAATCAACAAGTGTTGGCGAGATAGCGGAGAAAAAGGAACCCTCGTGCACTGCTGGTGGGAATGCAGACTGGTGCAACCACTGTGGAGAACAGTGTGGAGTTTCCTCAAAAAACTGAAAATGGAACTCCCATTTGACCCAGTAATCCCACTCCTAGGAATATATCCCAAGAAACTAGAAACACCAATTAGAAAGGATTTATGCACCCCTATGTTCATAGCAGCACAATCTACAATAGCCAGAATTTGGAAACAGCCTAGGTGCAGCAGATGATTGGATCAAAAACTATGGTACATCTACACAATGGAATCCTATGCTGCCATAAAAAAGAAGGAATTCTCATCATTTGCAGCAACCTGGATGGAACTGGAGAACATCATGCTGAGTGAAATAAGCCAGTCAATGAAAGAGAAACACCACATGACCTCACTCATTTGTGGATAATAAAGAACATTATAAACTGATGAACCAAAAGATAGATATAGAGACAGTAAAGCAACAAGCAGACTGTCAAATTAAAGCAGGTAGAGTAGGGAGATCTGGGGGAGATAATAGATCAACCAAAGGATTTGTATGCATGCATATAAGTACAACCAATGGTCATAAAACTCTGGGGAGGGAGGGTATATTTGGGGGGGGGGGCAATGTTAAAATATGTACACAGATAATAATTTAATAAAAAAATATATATATATAAAAAAATAAAAAACATGCTGGAATCTGCAAAACTGAGGGGAAGAGTGTGCCAGCCCTGAGCTGGGCCATGGGATTAGCACCTGAGTTTCCTTCTCAAGAACAATGGCAAGGGAACAGGCAAGAGAAGGGAGACCAATGAGGGGGTTTCACAAGAACTGAGATAGGGTGAAACTAAGAACACTAGGGATAAGTGGACGTAAAATCAGCAGAACCAGGCTTTGAATAAATTATCTAAGAAGTAGGGCTCAGGGGGAAGAACACCTCAGGGGTGAGGGGACAAAATGAAATGAGGTTCAGGAGATGTTAAGTCTGCCCTAAGAGTTTGGAAAAGTGCTCACGGCCGAAACCGGTTTGGCTCAGTGGATAGAGCATCGGTCTGCAGACTGAAAGGTCCCGGGTTCGATTCCGGTCAGGGGCATGTACATTGGTTGCAGGCACATCACCAGTAGGGGGTGTGCAAGAGGCAGCTGGTCGATGTTTCTCTCTCATCGACGTTTCTAGCTCTCTATCTCTCTCTCCCTTCCTCTCTGTAAAAAAAAAAATCAATAAAATATATTTAAAAAAAAAGAAAGAAAAAAAAAAAAGAAAAGTGCTCACGGGGAGGCAGCTTAGGACGGAGGCTGGAGGAGCCTGCAGGGATTCAGTGAAAGACCAAAGGACACCGAGCCGCAGACCCATGAACCCCAGGGAAGCATACACTGCAACCTCAGTCTAGGAATTGCTCAGGGAACCAGGCACAGCTCTTGTGTGTCACCCCACGGGGTAGAGGACTTTTATCTTCTCAGCTCCAACCTTTAAGGAAATTTCAAAGGTATGGAGGGGGTAACCGAGGCATGAGGAACTGTGTTCAGAAAGACTCGAAAGGCTTATGTATTTTCAGCCTAAGCTGGCTCTGGCACTACCAAAGCCAGCCTGTTACGGAATTCATGGCACTGATGATAAAATAACAGAAAAAAATACATCTTCTAGCCAGCTGCCAGTAAAGGCCAAGCCTTCACTCTCCTTCTAGAGATAATGTAGGCTTGTTCTATTCAATGGTGCATAGTACAATATGGGAAAACACAAAAATCCATCAGAATCTTAAAAAGAAAATGTGGAATATTTATAAATCAGCTACACTTTGGATGTGTCCAAGTCTCTTGAATTTTTAGCAAGTGCACAGATTGTCAAACATGACTGGCAACCTCTAATATGAAGGTGTAACTCACAAAGCCAAAAGCTGATGCATGCAAAGTGGTGGAATGTAGTTTATTCTGAACTAAACTATTTTCTAAAACAGTTCAAAGGGACTTAAATAAATTAAAACAGATTCAGTGAGCTGGGACAGAGACAAATTACACATTCTTTAAAGACAAAATGAAAACTGGCCATCTGAAACTATTCACAAGTGTTTAAATGTTAAGATCATTTTGCTAAATACCAAATGGCTGCAAATATCATAAACAGTTAAAATACAAACTTTTAGAAAATGGGTTAAATTTGTGAATTCAGAAAATTTTTAAAAATCCTAAAAATGCTGAAATGTTGCCAAAATAGAAAAATGACTCTCAGAGGGGATTAAAGGAAACGATCCCATATGAAAGTCAAATGGCTCCATTATATCTATAATCTATTCTTTGTAAAAAACAAAACAAAAAAACACTCACATAAAAATCACACCATTCAACCTTAAGAAAATTTCTTAAAATGCTAATTTTTTTCAATAATGTTCTATAAACATGTTTTTTGTAAAACCACACCCACTGAGTAAGAATTAAAATCCTGAAAGAGCTCAGGGAGATTTGATGTGTAGCCAGGTTGGAAATTGGTCCTAAAGGTCCCCATTGTGGTGGGTAGCCGGTCTTGGATAGGAGACAGAGAGGGAGTCCAGGAGCGCTGGTAGAGTCACCCACACCCACCTCCATCCATGTGCTTCAGCGCCTTCTCAGCTTCGTCTGGATTCTCAAACTCCACGTATGCATAGCCTTTGGATAGATGGGGGTGCATCCTTTCTACAGGCATGTCAATCATTTTAATTTTCCCATAGGTAGAGAATATCTCCATGATGTGATCCTAAAGGAAAGAGGTGTCACTAAAGCTTAAGCACCAGTCACTTGTATTAGAGTCAAAGAGAACTGCCTGGCCTCGGTGGTTCAGTGGTTGAGTGTTGACCTATGAACCAGGAGGTCACAGTTCAATTTGTGGTCAGGGCACATGCCCAGATAGTGGGCTCGATCCCCAGTGTGGGGCATGCAGGAAGCAGCAGATCAATGATTCTCTTTCATTATTGATGTGTCCATCTTTCCCTTTCTTTCTGAAATCATTAAAAACAAATAACACACAAACACACACACACATACACACACACGAATTCACCACATAACAACTACAACCTTGGCATTTGGGGATATAGTCACACACACACACACACACATAAAATGAGTTAATCAGTGCACTATTTGAATCATGTACCATCCATCACACAAGTCCTCCAAAAGGCTACATCCAAAGATACCATCCCTGATCCACTAGATTGGGATTCCTCACCTTGGTCACATTCCTGGTGAGTCTACCAATGTGTACTTTGGTGGGTTTAGGGGAAGGGCTCCGCCTTTTCCTTTCCTTTTCATCTCTTTTGGGTGGTTTGGATCTGATTGAAAAAAATCAAAATACCCAAACAATCAATTTCTGTCAAGCTAAAGTTTTGTTGTTATTGAGATGTTAACTGCTAGTGTGAGTTTTTAAATAAGGAAACCTTTCCTACTAGTTCATACATATTCTCCCTGTCTTAGAAATACTACTGGGACATAAAGAGTCCTTTGGATCTACTTTTAGAATAATTACAGTAACTTTATAGTCCGCCTCCCCCCCCCCCCCCAACCCCCCAAACTTGTAAAAGTTTTACAGGTGAGTCACAGTTGGTGAGAAACGGTGCTGGAGGGGAACTTACTTGGAGCGGGACCGCCGCCTGTTGTCATGTCTGCGCCGAGAAGGACTCGGAGAGCCGGAGGAGCTGCTGGAACTGGAGCTTCGGGATGTGCTGGAGCTTCCTGAGCGGCTCGATGCTGATGAAGAGCTAGAGCCGCTGCTTGAGCCAGTGCTAGTACTGGAGCCAGAGCTGGAGGTAGAGCTGGACCGAGACCTGAGGAGTAAGAGGGCAGAGGGGGGTGTTACAGACATCAGGGGGGAGCAATGTTTCCCCACCGCACAAGCAAGCCTGCACCATGCTCCCAAGAGTAAGTAGCTGTGCTCAGTTTTCCAAGTGGCCCTGCATTCCCAGCAGGGAAAACATTTACCACCTCACACTCAAGCCCAAACCCTCGGTGGGAACAGGAAACAGCACTCACATTGTGCAGTGACAAAAAGGAAGAACGGGCTGCTTCCTACTGACACAGAAGCCCTGTCTACTGAAAGGTAAAGGAGGAGCCTGCAAGTCAGAGCCATCAATTCAGCTTGAAAGGTAACTACGAGTTGACTGACAGAGGCTGGTTTTCAATGGAAGAAAAAAGTTCTGGGCTTGGGCAATACAATCACAACTCCATAAAAAGCACTTGAGAGAAAAATATATCCCAAGATGTCCCATTCCTCAACATCTCAAGGAAAGAAAAACCAGACACCAACTTCCTATACATAGCCAGAGCAAACCCCAAACCAGTTGGCCAATTAACAATCGGAGTGTGATTTCTTTATAAATAATAAGAAGACGAGCACTCTCTGGCTCTTCAGGAGGGAAGCAAGGCCTCTCAACACTGTCAGCCCACCTGGTGCTGCTGCTACCACTGGAAGCGCTGCGCCTCTTCCGAGTTTTATCCCTGCCGCGGTCCTTCTCACTGGACTCCTTGGTGGCCCCTTTATCTTTAGAGCGATCCTTGGACTTCTCATCAGAGCGGTCTTTGCGTTTGGAAGGAGAAGGAGCCCTGGATGGTGAAGAAGAGTGTGAGTTTGCATGCCCCTTTGACCAAACCCAGAAACAATAGCACAACCCAAAAGAGGGGATCCATGCGGCTACAGATCCAGGCCTTCATAGACCAAAAATGAGTGATCTGTGGCTTAGGTCACTTCCACAACGTAAGACATTTCCAATCTTCCCCTTTCTCAGAATCCTTAGCGACAAGCACCCCCAAAGTAGCACTAGAAAAATCTGACAGAAGAATTACCTAGTGCTGGACTTTTTATTATTTTCTTTGACTCCTAGCAAGCTCTTCTTTTTCACTCCTGATAAATCCATTCTCCCCTTCTGAGGTGTTCAAAGCAGCAATGGCGGCCTCACTTATCTGAACTCTCACGTCTAACTTGAGTCAGAGAAACGATCCCTAATCGATTGCAATTTACGCCAAAGTGCAGCCTAATAACAAGATAAAAGGATTTACAGAGTGAACAAATTGACAAGGCAACAAATCTACTTGCAGCCAAAAGCTGAGCACACAAGATGGCGGCAAGGAACACAGCAGTGAGTGTCCACAAAGCCAGGAATACCCGGGGACCACTTCCTCAGGGAGGATCCCATCTTCACAGGACACACAGGAGAATCGTCCCCTCAGCTTGTCTTTTCTTAAGGAAAAAGTGGTGATGCTGGTCACTGTTATTTTACAGATGGCACGATACCCGTTTTCACTTCTAAATTTGACGATAAGCCCTTTACAATTCCACAGAAATATTACAGCACATTTGCATGCAGAATAGAGAAAAACCTTAGGGAATGTGTGCAGCTCTCCTGATAGGTATGTCTCTTTCTCCCTCTCTCTCACATATGTCCTCAGATGAGGTTTAAAAAAGAAGTTTCTTACCCACACACAGATAAATTATCCCATAAGAATATTTTAAAAGCAATGAAACAGCACATTAAAGAGTAGTCATTGTAACTATTGAACTTTAGTTCATATATGATAGAGCAAATATTGCAGAAATGTGACCAATAAAATCTAGGTGGTGGTAATGTATTTACTGTACAATTCTTTCAACCTTGCTGTATGTTTATATTCTTTAAAAAATAAAATGCTTGGGGATGAGAAATAGACATTGGAATTGGACGAGATACCACAGGTAAAGTATGTGCTCAATAAATGGCCATTAGTAAATTTTACTCAAGAACAAACTGCTAATTCATTTTGTGCCCTATTTCCTGGGAACTGCTGCCTCAGTAATTCCCGTGAGATTTTGTAAAGTTTGATTGAGCTGTTTTTTAATTTTTTTTTAATTGATTTTTCACAGAGAGGAAGGGAGAGTGATAGAAACATCGATGAGAGAGAATCATCGACCAGCTGCCTCCTGCATACCCCCTACTGGGGATGTGCCTGCAACCAATGTACATGCCCTTGACAGGAATAGAACCTGGGACCTTTCAGTCCGCAGGCTGATGCTCTATCCACTGAGCCAAACCGGTTTCGGCTGTTTTTTTTTTTTTTTTTTTAAATATATTTTATTGATTTTTTTACAGAGAGGAAGAGAGAGGGATAGAAAGTTAGAAACATCGATGAGAGAGAATCATCGATCAGTTGCCTCTTGCACACCCCCAAATGGGGATGTGCCCACAACCAAGGTACATGCCTTTGACCAGAATCGAACCTGGGACCCTTCAGTCCGCAGGCCGATGCTCCATCCACTGAACCAAACCAGTTTCAGCAGTTTGCTTGAGTTGTAAGCAAACATCTCAGGATGTTAGTCTTAACTACTTTTGTCCCACCTTTTCCGATAGCCTGTAAGTAAAATGGACATGGCACACTCTTCGGGATTCTGTTTTCGTGTGTGAAGGGGGAGACTAAAATGTGAATAATGGTATGCTTAACAAAGGGCCTGGCCTTGAACAAGCAAACGAGTGCTCTTTTCTTGGGCTGTAAAATCTTCAATGTTTTGCCTTAAAACATTAATATACTACAGACACCGAGCTGGCAAACCAGAATAAGGTTAGTGTCTTTGGACAATCAGTGATTATGGTTAAGACTCTGGAGTCAGCTTGCTTGAGTTAGCTTTGCTGTGTAACCTTGCATAAGTCACTTAACCTTTCTGGGCCTCAACATCTCACCAGTATTATGGTGACAATTACAGTTCCTATACCTCATAGTTATCAAGGACATCAATCAAATTAACTCATGAAAGAGACTGGGCATCTAATAAAGGATGTTTCTTCATGTTTGGAGGCTCTTTTCCCATATAAACCCTTGTCTTCCAAGTGACATATCCCTGAGTGCTCAATAAGTGGACTTGAACAGCTCCCATTCGAATCACTGGGAGCAGCACCGTTCAATAGAGTCCCAAACATATCCTAAAATTTTCTAGTAGCCACATTACAAAAAGTAGAAGTTAACAAGTTATTATCTTTTCAACAAGCAGTACAAAATCTTACTAGTAAAAAATTTAACACCCTCTAGTAAGCCTAAAAACACCTCAATTTGGTACAGTTGTATTTCAAGTGCTCAATAGCCCTATGTGGCCAATGGCTACCTACAATGACTTGAGTACAGATTCCTGAACTCCACCCCGTTCTAAAGATCTACTGGAATGGACTTTGTGAAAACAAGCACCACCAATTATTCTTAAACACTAAAAATTAAGAACCACAGAGTAAATGAACTTTTTGTTGGTGTGGCCGAACGCTAAAAGAAAAAAAAAAAAAAAGCAAAGGTTGAGGTTCTCTGCTCACACAAGTTGGGGTTAACAGCGCAGGACCTGGTTACCTCCCCCATCCTCCGGAAAAGGTGCGCGTCCAACAGTCAGAGAGAGGAGAGAACAATTAGTTAAGTCTCGAGCAGATGGCGTTCAGCTCAAATCTTCCCCATTTAAAAGTACATGTTAGGCACAATTCATGCAAAACAACAAAGAGAGAAAAGGCCACGTATCTCCATTGATTTTAGCCTTCCCTTCTGGGTTAAGCCGTCAACCTGAGCTCCGTGATCTCAAGGGCCGTATCCCCAAGGTCTAGCACCGAGAATGGCACACGGGGGGCTCAGTAAACACTCGTGGGGTAAATGTTTGGATTGATGGCCCCGAAGGGAGGATTAGTCGGCACCTATCCCACAAAGCAACTCCGCACCCACCGGGCACGGGCTTCGCACGCGACCTCGCCGCACCCGTTCACTCACAACTCCCCAGTCCCAGCGCCGAACCGCGAGCGCTTCCAGGGCAGGGCCCGGCGTTGCAGGCCTGGATCGCCAGCCCGGCGAGAGGGTCCTGAGGGCAGAGGACACGCTCGCGGGTGTCCGGTGGGCCTAGCTGGGCCTGCCGCAGAGGGGACGAAGCGAGGCCGCCCTTCCGCCCGCCGCGGCTCCAACTACTTCCGGGCCGCGGCCTCGAACCCTCCCACTCCGTCCACCCCGGGCCACACTCTTTCAATTCTTAGTCCCCGCGCTCGCACCGCCAGGCCGCCGTCCTCACCGTGGGGCCGAGGAGCGCGCCGGCTCCAAGATGCGTCCCGCCAATAGCGGGGCGCGCCCCCCCGAAGGTCGGATGGGGTCGGATTCCCCCACTTACATCTTCCCGCCACCGCGACTTGGTCCCGCTCTCCTCAGCCACTGAGGTCGGCGACGCTCAGTTGTCAGCTTAGGGAGCGGGAAGACGCTGTTCGGCGCGCGGCGATGACGTAGAGCCTCTCCGCCAATGGGCGCGCGCGCCGGGAGTGTTAAAGGGCCAGGCGGTTTGTGGAGAGACGCTTTGGAAATCCTTACTTTGTCTCTCCGTATGCAGGGTTGTGTTAGGCTGGCCACGCACCTCAGGGGGCCGACAAATTGGCCGCTTACTGGGGCTGGAAAGGCTGAGCCGCTGGGGCAGCTGAAGGGGCGGCGCCGGTTTGGCTAACGCGGCCCCCTCTCCGTGTGCAGGTTTCTGGGCGCACCTGGCAGTCGCCCCGACGCTAAGCTTTCGGATCAGTTTGGCGCCCTGGGGACCGGGCGGTGGCAGCGGCCTCTGGCTGCAGGTCTCGGAGGCCCGCAGGGCATGGGCGGGTCGGCGGGCCGGCAGTCCGGTGAGAAACCACGCGTGGAGTGCGTGTTGGCCGGGAAGACTGGGCTTCTGTCCTGGCGGGACTCGGCCGGAGAGACCAGACGGGGCCATGCGGCCAGAACGAACGGGATACGAAAGGCGAGAAGCAGAAGGGAAGGCGTCTCTGAGGAGGTGACACTGCAGCTCAGTGGAATATCATATACAAAGGCGTGGAGACTCGTTGGAAGAAGCGAAGGGAGGCCCACGCGGCGGCTCGAAGGCCGGGGCTAGGAAGGTGCAGTGAAGCGGCGCGGGGCGGAGGGCGGGGGAGTAGAGGGTGTGCAAGATACCGCCTGAGGCTTCACACCACCCCGCCAGCCACCCTCTCTGCCTGTGGACGCCGTAGGCTGGGAGGCACTGGAAAAGGCAGAAGAAGGGGTGAGGGTGTAGAGGCCCCGACCCAGCCAGCAGGCTGACGGAGTACAACTCCAACGCTTGAGAGGGCCAGGCTTTTGGGTTTGGTTCACTTTTATGCCAACCGCTACCCCCCACTTCTGTCCCCCTCCCTCAGTTTCCCTCCTCTGTGTCTGGCAAGAAGTCCTTCCTTGACTTATTAGTGGAGGAAGGAATGTGCACCCAACCCCGGACATTGTCCAGTTAGGTGCTGTAAGGAAGAGACAGATCCAAGATGATTTTTTTTTGGAAGAAGGAATCAGTGTGACTTGGAGACGGATTAGATGTCAACAGGGAGGACTGGCTTGGTGAGGTGGGGTGGATGGATGGTGCTGTGGATGCCCTCTGCAAGTCATTGCTCTTTGTTCCACTGGTGTTCCCAGCCAATGATGGTGACTCCTTTCCCTCCTCCAATAGTGTCTCCCATCCGGGGATGTCAATGTGCCCCTAACACCTCACCCTGTACTGAGGATGTCTGAGGAGTCCGGGACTAATGAGGCGTGGGAGGAGCAATCTGCCTCCCCCCCCCCCCCCAATCCCCTCCACTGAGGCACCGATATGTTCCTGGGACTGGGATGGCAGGTTGAGTCTGTCTGGGTTGGTGTCTTCCCTTTGGATTTAGATTTGATGGCAGGGATGAGGGGACATTAGAGCAAGTTAAATCCTCTGCATCACGGTCACATCTGCCAAGGCCAGGCATGGGAGGGTAAATGGATCAGCAGGGCAGCCTTGGTCCTGCGGCAGTGAAGAGGCCAGTGTTAGCATTGGGGACGGGGTGGCCTTGGTGGGCCAGGCCTGAAGGTCTGTGAGGAGCTGTGGCAGCATGCTGGGGCCCCACACATCCTGGGCCAACCATCAATG